GGCTCACGCCTGTAATCCCAGCACTCGGGAGGCTGAGGTGGGAGTTCGAGACCAGCCTGGGCTACAAAGTGAGCTCGAGGCCAGCCTGAACTGCATAGCAAGACCCTGTCTCAAAAAAGACAAAAAAAAAAAAAAAAAAAAAAGAAATTTAACTCTTAGTCAATTTAAGAAATCAATCTTAAACTTTTATACATATAATAATTTATGAAAGAACAGCCAGGCAATGGTGGCTCATATCTATAATCCAAGCACACTGGAAGCTGAATCAGGAGAATTGCTGTAAATTCAAGACCAGCTTGTTGAAGGCCAGCCTGAATTACATAACGAGACCTTGTCTCAAAACAAAAGTATGATAGGCTAAAATATATTTGATAAGAAGAAGCCAAGAACTGGGTGTGATGGTAATATCTGTAATCTCAGCACTCAGGAGTCCAAGGTGGGAGGATTACTACAAGCTTGAGACAAGCCTGAACTATCTAGTGAGACCTAGCTCAAGAAAAAAAAAGAAAAACAAGAAGCCAAGAAAATTTGAAATTATATTTAGTAACTGATGACTTAGATCTTGTTGCAAACTTTATAAACATTTATATTTACTCATTTACTTAACAATCTTTTTTTTTTTTTTTGTCTTTGTGAGACAGGATCTTGCTATGAAGTTCAGTATAGCCTTGGGCTCACTTTGTAGTCCAGGCTGGTCTTGAATTTACAAATGATTCTCCTACCTCAGCCTCCCAAGAACTGGGATTACAGGAGTGTGCCACCATACGTGGCCTTAACAATTATCTTAAACACAAAGCATAACATAATTAACATTTTTAGCTATGTAGTTTTAGACTTATATGGGTCAAGAGAGAAAAGAGAAAAGCTATGAATTTCTAGATAGGGTCTTTATTTTTCCCCTTAATTAGAGAATTAAGTTTGAGGTCTTATCTTTAATTTACATTTGGAAAAAAATCAACCTTTGAATTTCTCCATCTTCAGTCTGGGAACCAGTGCCATATGCAGGCCGCTGCTGGACCAGAACACACAGACCTCAGCCTCTCCTCATGAGTCAGCACCATTTGCAGACTGGGGTAGAGAAAACAAAGCCACACCAGCAAGCAGGCCCAGTCTAGGGGCCAGTGCCATGCACAGGCTACTGCTGAACTGGAACAGACAGGCCCTAGCCCCTTCCAGCATGCGGACTGACAAACAAGAAGTTGTAACCTTCCTAGCCTTCTGCTTTAAGCAACTGGCTTGCTTATCTGGAGAAACACAGGCTGTGATGATACTATGGAGGTGAAATGCAATTGGATTCCTGTGGTGCTTTGGTGTTTTACTAACATTGCAGGTTTATGGCCAGTGTCTGATCATAGGCTAGGAGGATAGTGGTATGCAGTCAGTGTGACATCTAGGGTTGTCTCTTTCTGAGGGTTGCTCCAGAAAAATAATTGCCCATAGACAGGGCAGACAGTTTGCCCTAGGACCCAGAAAGTTTGTGGTAGACAGCTGAGAAGGCAGAAACGGAGCCTTTCCTACAGTCTGGCCCTCATCCTCTCTCCTACCAGCAGGAAAATACAGAGGCCACGCACTTCCCCTCCCTGTTTCCATATAGTGGGACACACTAGGCACTGTCCCAAGGTGCATGAGCCTGTTATGCCCCTGCCTGGGTCACAGGTATTGAGAAATAGTGGTGCAGGGCCTTGGGGTTTGTTTCTATAAAGTAGGAGGCAGCGCCGTGTGCTGAGGATAGGGTAGAAAGGAGTCAAGGAAGAGGAGGGAAAGAACAAAAGCCACCAGAGCCTCACCGCATGGTCTACTGTGTTGACAGTGGACAGGGCAGCCATGTCCTGCACAGTGGGGTGTCCCAGCATTGAGGTGGCCCTGGGAAGGGCAACTGGATATTGTGCATCAGGCCGAAGACTCTGAACTGGATTGGGAAGCAAGTGATGGCATTTGCACTGATAAATTCAAGATTAGTCCAGGAAAGAGTGAGATCCATCTTGAAAAGAAAGAAAGAGGAAAGGAGAGAAAGAGAAGAGAAAAAAGAAAAAAAAAAAAAAAAAAACAAAGAAAAGTTTGGGTGTGGTGGTGAACAGGTGTAGGCTAATGCTACAGACCTTAATGCTCGGTAGGCTAAAACAGGAGAATCACAAGTTCAAGCCCAGCCTGGGTGATTTAGCAACTTAGTGAAAGCTTGTCAGGGCTGCAGCCAGGGGTGGTGGCTCATGCCTGTAACCCCAGCACTCAGGAGGCTGAGGCAGGAAGATCGTTGGAAGTTTGAGACCAGCCTGAACTACAAAGTGAGCTCAAGGCCAGCCTGAACTGCATAGAGACCAAATGTCCAAAAAAACAAAAAAGACTGTGAGTGTAGCCCTGTGTGAGGGCCCTGGGTTCAATCCCCAGTACAAAAAGGTAGAGGAAAAAAAGGGAAAGGAAAGGAGGGGAGGAAGGAAAATGGAAAGAGAAAAGGGGTGATCAAAGGTAGAGAGGAGGTCATAGTATGTGCTGGGAGCCCAGGTGGTAGATGGCAGGGCCCAAGGACAGGCAGACCCTAGACCACAACACCTCAGAGGTGGAGTTGTCCTGACAGCTGTGGTACCCAATGCAGGCACATTCATTCATTCAAAGTGAACACACTCAGAAACAAGGAGGACCAACTGGGATGTCAGACAGACCAGTAGGACACCTACACAGCAAACAAGCCTTGGGGAACATGGAGGGACCAGAAGACAGGAAGACCAGCAAGGAGGAGAAAGAGTGGGGGATCTGCATGGTGCAGAGTAAGCAGAGGCAAGTTTCTACAAATGAAAGAAGAAATAAGAAAGTCTGCAGTGGCCCTGAGAGCCCATGTGGTGCTGACCTTCCTGGTAGCAGGAGCAGTCCGTCCAATTCTCTTGGTGGCTGTCATCCTGTCTTCACTTGTGAGCCAGCAGGGGGAGGCAGATGGGGCAGAAGCATGGCAGGATGGAGGCTCAGGAAGAGGCTCACCAACCCTTGGGTTGGGGTGAAGGCTGGCAGGAACAACGAATTTGGGGCCATACCAACTTTAGGGCCTGTTTGTGCCCTACGTGGTGGGGGCACCAAGGCCAGATGTCACTTGTGGCCTGGAGCTCTGCTTCCAACCCTGTGTGGAGCAGGGAGGGGTGCCAGGGCACTTCTTCTCCAGAGGAGGACGCTTCCTATTTTCATGCCTTTGTCTGAAGTTAGTATTGCTTGGGACTCTTTTCTGAGAAGAGAAACTATTGCCCAAGGACAGAAGAGACCAATTAAGACACAGGGGAACCCCAGCTGGGGCAGGCTGGATCCCATTGAGGCCTCTGGCAGGAGCTACGCTGCTCCATTCAATCTACCACAATCTGGCTCTCCTGTGCCCTCTTCTCCACATGACCACTTTATCCATCAAGACCTCCACCCTGATACTTAGGCTCCTTAAGGGTCACCTGAACAGCCAGGAAGCTGTGAAGCTATCAACTGGTATGGGGGAGGGGGAATCTTTACTTACTTACTTAATTTTGTTTATTTTGAATTGCACTATGTAGTTCAGGCCGGCCTGAAACTCTTGGTCCTCCTGCCTCAGCCTCTCAAGCACTAGGATTACAGATGTGCACCACTATACCTGTCATGAAAGATTTTAAAAATAAAAAAGTCAGGCTGGGGATTTAGCACAACAGCACAAACACTTGCCGGGCAAATGCAAGGTTGTGAGTCTGACCCTATACAAAAAAAAAAAAAAAAAAGACATAAAAATAACAAAGTAGGATGCATTGGTACATGCCTGTAGACTCAGAATTCTGGAGTCTGAGCCAAAAAGATCAAAAGTTGGTGGCCTGTCTGGGCTAAATAGTGAGTCCCCATCTCAAAAAAAAAAAAAAAAAAACATGCATGATGGCACATGCTTATAATCCAGCCTACCATATAGGCTGAGCCAAGACGATCACAAGTTCAAGGCCAGCCTGGACAACTGAGACAGACCCTCTCTCAAACCAAAAATAAAAAGTGGACTAGGGATATAGATCAGTATAAGACCCTGGATTTAACCCCCACAGAAACAAAACAAAAATAACACCTGAAAGGCCCATTCCAGGGGAGGGCTCTGCCCTCCCTATTTTGGTCAGGTCAGAAACCTGATTGCCTGCAGGGTCTAGAACCAGGTCTTCAGGCTCTTTTTGGTCTCTCTTGCCATACAGTCTCCCTCAAGCAAGGAACCTTGGACCCCAGAGCTCCAGAAAAACGAGCCAAGATGGAGCCACAGTTACCCTGGTTTCCTTTGACCCTCACAGTCAACTCTCAAGTCCTGGGGTGTAGATACAAGAAAGTGCCACATGGTGGAGAAGGAATTTTGCTGATGAACTTGGGATTCAGTTTGAAATGAAACAAAATTATCCCCCTCCCTCTCTAAACTAAATCTCAGCTACCAGACCAGGCTGATGGAACCAGAAAGTGAAGAGGGTCATGCTAGACACGGAGACGCCCCAGTATCTTCAGGGCACGACTCCCAGCTCCAATACAGGCACAGTCGAGGGTGTGGGGCAGCCTCTGCTGGACAGGCTGGCTATGATCAAGGTGCCCAGGCTCAGGAGGGAGTTTAGGAGAGCAAAGAAGAGGGATGCCCAGTTCAAGGTTCCTAAAATGTCCCCCTTATAGGTATTCACGGGCATGTATGTCTCATCTCAAAAAAAAAAAAAAAAATTCCTGGAATATTTACCTGGTATATTCCCTACACACACATATACACGCATCGACATACATTAGGGACATGTAGCCTGGGTCGGAACAGTGGCCTCTCAAGGTCCTAAGCCTTCCGCTGGACACAAGTCCAAGGCTCTGCCTCAGCCCCACCCAGGTTTCCTCTCCCTCTGAAGTTCAGACCAGGGGTGTAGAGGGGAGGGAGGCGCTGTCCCCACAGCTCCAGTTCCCTACCTCCCCCGGATCCACCTACTCAATTCCTTTAATGAGGCAGCTTCTGATTTTACGTTTACCACCAGCCTTAAATACCAGAAAAGAGACAAAGTACACACTTCTCAGAAATTGGAATTTTATAAAAAGGCATTTTTCTTTTATATCCATAAAATGATATAATTTTTGCAAGTATAGAAATGTGTCATAAATTATACAGAATGTTCCTTAATTACAGCTCAACGCAACTTAGTACTTTCCTCCCTCCCTAAAAAATGAGAGAGAACCAAAAAAATAATATATATATAACTGTATATATATATATATTTATATTTATATAATATAGACAAAACAAATATGAAAAAAATCATTTCCTCTTTGGTATAAAAATCAGACTCTCACCTTGAGAGACACACAGACAGACATGATACTGTTTGTAAACTGTGGCCAAAAGCGGGTTTCCCTGCCAAGACTTTCTTGTCCCCCGCAACCTGCCCATGCCAGCCGGACCCCCTGTGCCACTCCAGCTCCCCTGGGGCCCTGCCTCTCCCACTGCCCAGTGAAGGTCCCTGCACCAAGTACCAGCTCTCCTACCCCAACTACCAAAGAAGAGGAAAGGGTTCTTCCAGGCTGATTAGGTAGCAGCTAGGTTGGGATGTGGGTGACAGGACAAGCTGGGGCCAGCTCTGAGGGAGCCCCATTCTGACCAAGGCGGGCCCTGAGCAGTCTCCTGGCCTAGACCCAGTTCTTCTCTCCTCAACTTGGGACAAGGACCTTGCCGGCTCCTCCCAGGTGCTGGGCCCCAAGGGTGGGACCTCCTCCACGGGGAGCAGCCAGCAGAGCAGCAGCTTCCCTCAGTCCCCCACCAGGCTCAGCTTCCTGTCCCACTCCTCCACCTCAGGGTCTTGGGATGTAGTACAAGAAAGTGCCACATGAAAGGGAAAGGGAATTTGCTAATGAACTTGGGACTCAGTTCAAAATAAAAGAAAATTACCTCCCCCACTAATCCCATACTTGGATTTCACTCACTGAGAAAGGCTCCAGCCCAGTGCAACAGGACTTATGGAATCCAGGAACTGCTGGGAAAAGGAAACACTCCTCCTTCAAGGTGAGGGTGAGGACCAAAGCTTCCGGTCTCCTCTCCCCCCACCCTTGAGCTGACAGCACCTCCCTTGCTGGTAACCCCTCTGTCCCATGAGGGAACCATGCCCCCAGGTAGGGCTCCCAGGGGATGCCAGTCTCCTTTTTCCAGGAAAGGTAAGATGTCAACCTAACAGAAAAGTCACATAAAGTTCTCCTCCATCTGTCAAATTACAAGAGAAGAGAAGAGAAGAGAAGAGAAGAGAAGAGAAGAGAAGAGAAGAGAAGAGGATACAAATACAAATCAAGGAGACAGACGCAGTATGAGGGGCCTGAGGCCCCAGCAGGTCTCTCTGGCTTTCCAGCATGATACATTCGTGTGTAATTGAGGAACAGAGGCTCAAGGGCCCCTCTAGGGAATGGGAGTAAAAAAATAAGGAGATTACAGTCTCCCTGTGGGTTCCCCGGCAAGGCAGGGGCAGACGCAATCTCTCACAGTTTTCCTCGTTTTCGGTTCCACAGCTAGTCCCCACGGGGCTGCGCCCCCACATCTGAGCCCCTGTCCTACCCAGTCCACTCCTTCACCTCCCCCACAGCAGGGCCAGCAGGACAGAGCTCCCTGCAGGCTGGGCAGGCAAGGAGTGCGGGTGGCAGTTCAGAGAGGCTGTACCCCAGGGCCCCACAGCCTGTGTGCTGTGCCACTGACACAGGGCGTCCCAGCCAGGTCTTCACCCCTTCAGGGGCTTCTCAGCCACACCACCAGGGCTGCTGGCACTGTCACTCTTCTTCCTGCGCAGGCTCTCAATCCAGCTGGAGCTGGAGCGCGTGGTGAAGCTGGAGAGTGCCAGGGAGCTGAGCCGCATGTTCTTGCCGGACATGATAAGCTCCCCGAAGCCCTCCTGGTGGGAGAAGGCGTAGCCCGAACGCCGGGACCCAGTGCGGCCCACCCGGCGCATGCAGCGGTGCTGAGCTTTCTGCTTCTTCCTCACCAGCTGGGTGTAGCGGACCTGGGGTTTGTTGTGGAAGGGGACACCATCAGTGTCACAGAGTCAGCCATTGCCACAAAGAAGACCCAGATACGACCACCAACAACACCCTGAGCAGTTGTGATATAGCCCAGAAATAGCCATGGGACAGCTCAAAATAGAGCCTCTTCTATCAGTCTTGGTCCCCAGGGTGGACAGCCCAAGCCCTCACCGTGTCAGAGAGATCTGGCTTCAGGTTGAGCCTGAGGAACCGGAAGGCAACCACAGGCATGATGCAGACGACTGTGGTGAGTACAATGGTGAGCCACACTGTGGGCTGGGCCAGCGTGTTCTGGGCATTCCCTGGGGGTAAACAGAAGCTGGTAGGAATTCCCAAGTGGCCAGGGCAGCAGCTCCCTGACTTCCTGAATTCCATCCAACTTCCCCAAGCTCAAAACCTAAGACAGCTCTGGCTTCCCTCTTCTCCTGGCAGACTCTGAAACATTTCACATCTAAATCTGTCTCTGGTCCAAAACTCTCTCCCATAGCACACAGCACCTTCCTTAACCCCCTTAGTTGACATCTCTGTTGAGTGTCCAGCAAGTATCAAGCTCCCTGTAGACCAAAGAAAGCTACTGTCTCCCCACCCCACATCTGTCCCATGCCTTTCCTAATTTAGGAAGCACTACCTACCACTGACCATGCTCCCACTAAACCTCACACTCTCATCTGACGCACTGGCTTCATTTTCACAATACCTAGAGTATCCCACTGCATTTCACCGCATTCCAAGCCATCCTAACTCCTATCTGGGTCTCTCAGTAGCACCCTAACTGGTCTCCTCTCCATTCCCACCTCTGCTCCCATAATTGTTTATTTTCTGGCTGTGCTGTGATGGGAGCCCAGGGCCACACTTATGTTAGGCAAGCCCTCTACCACTAAGCATCACATCTTGTCTGTTTTTCACAGGAAGACCAGTTCTAGATATTCTATCTTTTTACCTGCAAATCACCTGTCTCATACACAAACCCAGGGGGAAGCAATGTATCTGTTGTTAGTGCTGCCTCCCCAGCACCCACAATGGGTAACACACAGTAGGCGCTGACAGGACACCTATCAGCAAACACCAAGGCCTACAGGAGCTGCCTTTGCTTCCTCCTCCCCAGCCAGCCCCTCTCTGCCACCTGGATGGCTGCCTGGTACTGGTTCTGAACAGCCTCACACTCAGCACAGCAGCTTCCCCACTGACCATTCTGGCAACTTTCACCTTTCTAAAGCAATCTTTCCATGCCCTTTGCCCCTCTTCCCCTGAATAAATGACTTCTAATAAGCCCGAACCAAACCTGGCAGACTGGCATTCTGAGTCCATGAAAGCTGCCTTCCCAGCACCTCTCTGCGGCTCCAGGGGAGCTTTTCTCAACTACCTGGAGCACTGCCCCCAGAACCAGTAGCCTCTTCACATTCCTGGCCCTTCTCGACTACCCTTGGCTACCCCACTGGCAGTGTCTCTGCCAACCACAAAGCCACCCTGACCCACCACAGCCTCACCACCTTCCCAGATAAAGAGGATCTGCAGGAGCAAATGTGGCCTGGTCAGCTACACTTTGACACAGCATAGTACAGTGCAGCACTCCTGGCACATAAGAAGTGCCGCTAAGCACTCGTGACCTGCGCACTGGTTGACCACCCTGCTAGAATATCTGCAACTCCTCACTCATTCATAAAAAAGCTACAGGCCCTCACCCACAAACCGGAACTGGTTCGGAAACATGTCAAAGAGCCCGTTGCTGTGCATGGCAAAGAGGATGGCAAAGTAAACTGCGAGGCTGCCCCAGATGAAGAAGTGGTTGATGGCTGTCCAGTAGCCTGTATCCAGCCCGATCTGCAGAGAGTAGTGGCTGTCACAGAAGGCGTTTCCAACCACCCCTCCAGAAGCAGGCCCATAATATACCCTCTAGCAGTCAGTTCCAGGACCACCTCCTACCTGCACACTGACCACGATAACCAGTGACGTGGCCACAGTGACAGCAAAGGACTGATAGTCAGCCAGCTGGGTGCCATCATCCCGGGTAGCCTCTGAGAACACTCCGTAGGGGATAAAGAACATAAGCACAGATGTGTAGATGCCCTGGGCGATACAGATGAAGAACTCTCGCTTGTTGAAGAGGAGATTCAGCTGACCTGGCTCATACAGCTTAGGGTACTCCATGCTCCGCTGCTCCGGGACATCCTATGTGGGGATGCCACACAGCAAGGAGGTCTCAGGGCAGTCAAGGGCAAATCCTGGCCCTGGTTGACAGCAGCTCCCAGACAGTCTTTATCCAACAACCCAGGGGAGTTACAGGTCAGCTGCAGCCTCCCCACAGCCCAATCTGAGGCACTGCCCCTGCAGTGCTATGGGTAGCCACACACGCCCCTCTAACAGAGTAACACACTGTCACAGTAGTGTTCCTCCCATCTTGCCTGAGAACCAAACTCCTCCATACCTGATCAAAGACCCCCATAGCCAGGACTGGAAGGGAGGTATACACAATGTTATAGAGGGTGATAAAATACTGGTCATACACGGTCTGGAAGAGAATAGGGATGACAGAGTGAGTACTTCGCCTTTCTTGCCTGCAAATCAATCCGAGGAGGACACTGAGTGACACCGAAGGAGCTCTACGAGATTTTCTCAAGCTTCTCTCAACTCTTTCAACAAACATTTCTTTTAATGCAAACACCAGATAACAGGATTGGGCAATAAAGAGAACAGATACGATTTCTGCCCTTAGGGAGCTCACACAGAACACATCACAAAAAATGGGGGTGCTCAATACCTGGGCCGAGAAGCCGCAGAAGAAGCCAAACCAGAAGTGGACCATGGTGAAAGCAAAGTTCTTGTAGAAGAAATAGCAGAGGAACTTGCACATGCGCAGGTAGGACCAGCGCCCGTGCACCAGCAACAGGCGCTGTAGGAACTTGAACTGGGAGAAGGAGTAATCGGAGGCCAGGACAGCCTGGATCCCTTCCTGCCCGCTGATGCCCACACCAATATGAGCCGCTGAGAGACAAGAGATGACGGGAAAGTGAAAACAGCCACCCACCACAGATCTACCAAATGACACCCCTCCCCCCGCCTTCTTGGCCCAAAACCTCAGTGAGCACCATTTGCGCCTGTCCACCCACCCACAATCCTGCACTGGCCACACTCACTTTTGATCATGCTGACGTCATTGGCCCCATCCCCAATGGCAAGTGTCACAGCCTTCTTGTATTTCTTCACTAATTCCACCACCTGCGCCTTCTGCAAGGGAGTCACCCGGCAGCAGATGACAGCTTTGCAGGCACAGGCTGTTTCCAGAAACTCCAGCTCCATATCTGCCTCCAGTGCATGAGCCTGGAACACAGGGAGATCTAAGAGAGGCACATCTGGCCCCAAAGTAGCCTGGAGCCTCAGTTCCTCCCTGTGCCTTGATGACCACAGTGCCCTCTATAGGAAAGACGAATGAAAACAAGGTAAGACATAAAGCTGTACTGAGACAAATGCTCTCATGTCACCAGACTAAGCATGGTGACACTTACCAGGCTGTGACCATTGATGACAAGAGCATATTCCCCAGCAACAGCGTCTAGGACAGAAGCCAGCCTGGAAGATGACAGTTTCTCCTGATAGGAGCAACCATTGCCTACAGCACGGGAGGAGTCCATCATCTTTTCCCGAGCTTTCCTGTGAAGGTAAAGTGAAATGGTGCTGTCTTCCAAGCCAGAGCTGGAAATCTGGATCCCAGCTTACCCAACCTCAGGGCGCATCATAGAGCACCTGCCTCCCTCAGGCTTTGTTTACCTGAGTTCCTCTCGCACCTCCAAAACAGTGTGGCCGGTGACTATGAACACCTCTGTCATGTCATCTGTCAACATCTTGCAGGAGTAGCCAATGTTCACAGCCGTCTCTACCAAGAGAAAATGCAAGAACTATGGCAGGCACCTGGCAAGGTCCACATGCTCCTCTGCCTGGTGGCTATGGCTCCATGCAAGGGCAAAGCGGGATTACTCTCCAGCACAGTTCTCTCTGCCTTGCTGCCTTCTCACCTTGCTTATCTCCAGTTAGCACCCAAATCTTGATGTTGGCCAGTGTGAGGAGGGCGATGGTCTCTGGTACCCCTTGCTGAAGTTTGTCCTCAATGGCTGTTGCACCCAACAGCTGAAAATTCCACAAAGGCATTTTCCTGGCACAAGAGCAGCAGGCACAAACCCTTCTTGCCCACTGCAGCCAGCCCTGAGCTCTTACCATCATGTCGCTCTCAACTTCCTCGTAGATGCTGGCCAGCCTATCCTCCCGGTTGTCCTGGGCCAGGCTTGCCTGCAGTCGTCTCTCAGCCCACTCCTCGTAATAGTCATCGTCTAGATCCTTATAGGCCAGGACCAGGGTCCTCAGCCCTTCCCCTGCATATTCCTGGAGGCAGAGTTGGAAAGTCACACCCCAGTATGTCTAAGGAGCTAATAATGCATGGCACAAAATCTTCTAAGTATTCTAAACATAAACACACAAACACAAGTAAGCTGCCTGTGGTACTGCATGCCAGCAATCCCAGTACTGTGCGAGGCTGAGGCAAGAGGATCACAGGTTTGAGCGCAGCTTAGGCAACCAAATGCCTTAATAAAACCCTGACTCAAAATTTAAAAAGGGTTGGCATGTAGTTCAGTGGGGAGGCCCTGCATTTAATCCCCAGTGACACATACAAAAGAAGGTGACTCTGGGAGAGGATGGCCTTAATTTGTTTGATTGTAGTAATCATTTTATTACATATATAAATATTAAAATATTCTGCCAGATACCTTAAATATATTTAATAAGACAACATGAAAAACACAAAAAAGCAAGTCATAGTCATATCATGTACAGATACAAATTTCATATAATGAATGTGACACTATGTATACCTAAAATGTATCAATAAACTTAATTAACTAAGTAAAGAAAGGCCCCTCTGAGTGCTGCAACAACAAGAGCAGCAGCCCCAGCCCACCTCCTTCCTCACACCTACATTCAGGTGGTCCATGGTGGCGCTGAGCAGTTCGTGGGTGGATTGGTGGAGTCTGTCAAGCAGGAGAGTGTCGGCTCCTTTGCAGTACAGTCGGATTTTCCCCTCTGGGTTCCGCACTATGAATGAGAAAGAAGTGCGGGCAAAAACCCACAACCTAGATATACCGGGATATCTCACCCATCCCAGGCATGCGTGCTACCCCAAGCCCCCCAGTGTCCCCAGTCCTGGGCTCACCTATGACTGACATGCGTTTGCGGATGTTATTGAAGTCCAGGATGGCCAGTAGCTGGTAGGTGATGGCTATGCCCATCTCGTGGACGGTGATTGTCTTAGGGGTACGAGAGCGGAACACAAAACCAAAGTTTCTGGCTGCAGTAACCAGGGCGCCCTCATCTGGGGACTGGGCTTTGTAGTACAGCTCTCCTAGGTGGAAAGGAAGAAGGTACATAGTGGAAATGGCCATGAGCTTGACCATACCCCTGCCCAGGAATGCGGGTCCAGCAGCACCACGAGCAGAGCCAAGAATATAAACCAGGCTAGGACACAGCCAAGCGGGTTCAGGCTTACCTTCGTTCTTTTCTTCTGACATTACAGTGTGACACAGAGAAAGGAGGCGGAAGAACTCATGTGTGTGGGGGTCCCCCATCTTGACAGCCTCCAAGAGACTGGGGTCCCAAAACAAGAACTTCTTGTCAGCCAGAGGATTAAAGGAGAAATCAATGGGTTCAGGCCTCTGGAACAGGTGAGAAAGCTCTCAGGAAAGGCTGAGCTATTCGGTTACATCCCAGAAGAGAGGCTGCCCCTGCTCACAGTGCTCAGCAGGACAGCCAAGACCCTGGGCACTGCAGACCTCAAACTCCTGCCCAGCCACCTGTTCTTTAAAGCATGCATCGCTCCAGGAAGCTTCCATTTCCTGCCCAGACAGCATATCACTCCCAACTATGTTGACTGCTACTGGTCAAGTGCTTGACCAGAGGATACCATAACTTTTTTGTTCTTTTGTTTTTCGAGACAGTATCTCACTCTGTAGTTCAAACTGGCCTCAAATTTGCAACAATATTCCTGCCTTGGTCTCTTGAGTGCTGGGATTAAAGGCATGCAACACTATGCCTGGTTCAGCATAGAAAAATTGTAGAGACTGAATCTTACCTCTCCCAACTCAGCTTTGTGTCCCAGGACATCAAACACGTCACCTGCACAGCCAGGACAGAGGAGAGGCAACATCAGAGCTGGAGTTCTCTAGATTGTGGGGGAAATCCTCCAATACAGAACCCCAGAGGCCCTCGGAATGCTCAGCCCTAACCTACCAAGCAAATGACACCCAGACTTGTATTGCTGACTCAAGGGACAGGAAGCAGCAGGTACCCTGGATTCCAGAACCCAGGATCCTGACTGTAGGAGCCCTACCCCAACACCTCCCAGAAGCTTGCCCCTTGGGGCAGACTCAGTTCTTGACCTCCATCTCTAGAGGTCCCAGACTCCTCTAGACCCAGCACACTCTAGGTCTACACAGACAAAGCCTCACACACTGTGAGTTCAGTTAGTACAGAAAGCAGGGCTCACACCTCTGTGAAGATCAGCCCCGCACAGCCAGCCAAGCCATCCCAGCAGCCACAGGCCACTGCAACTGGGAGACCACAATCACATTCCAGAGACTCACAAGGTCCCTGAGCAGCAACATGGGGAGAGTTTAGCACACCAGCAGGCCAGCCAAGGTCCACCCTGGCCAGGATGCCCAGAGGCCAGGGTCTGGGGCTTCACTTCAAACAGGCAAGGAGCTCCCCGGTGCCTGGAGCTGAGACCAGGGCGAGGGCTTCAGAGGAGAACAAAGCAAGATTCTCAGTCTTTACTGCCTGGCGTAAGAACAGAACAGATCCTTTCCCAACCCTCCGGATCCAAATGGAGGGAAGTAAAACTCAACATCAAGACAACTGTGCAAGCCCTAGCCCTAGGCAGCACTGCCCTACCATAGCTGTGGCCATTGATGGAACACTTGTTGAAGACCATGATGTTCTGGGTGAGGGTGCCGGTCTTGTCAGAGAAGATATACTCCACTTGACCCAGCTCCTCGTTCAGGGTAGTGGTGCGGGCCTCTGCGGGAGTGCGCTTCTTCATGCAGAACATCTTCTTGTCCCAGTTAATGAAGTAGCTGTGGCCCAGGCGGATGACCTCCACACTGCACAGGGGACAGGAGGTAAGGCTGGGGCAGGAAGGGGAGAAGCCGCCCCACCCACATGAGCTGTAGCTTCAGGCCCTCCACCTGGGGAGAACATGGAAAAGACATGTGGGTACAGGAACCTGGGGGGGAAGGACATCTGGGCATGGGAACCATGTGCGGCTGGCAAAGGATCTCCCTAACCCGACCCTCTAGACCTCTCCAGACACAAGGTGCACAGGGCCTGGGCAGGCAGGACTGACAGCACAGCAGAGGAGGAAGAGGAACTGTGGACAAGGCACTTGACCAGTTCTTACCTCAGGACTAATAATACAGAAACCATGCAGAGAAAAACAAGAGCAAGTGCACAAGAAAGGGAGGGAGAAAAAGAGAGAAATAATGAGGGTTGCTGTGCATGCTGCAGCAACACAGATGCCACCTCAGGGGCTACGCTGGGAGGCAGACACTAAGATGGCTGTACAGCTGCTTGCCCCCACTGCCCCCACTCAGGAGGGAGGGGGCCTCAAGAATACAGGGCTATTCAACTCCAGCCTAAGCAAAAAAAAAAAAAAAAAAACAATACGGGGCTAATCCCAAGTGACAATGGCAGAGTGCTGCCAACATCTCCTATTCTCCTTTTTGCTAACTGTTACCTTAGGGATGGGGATATGAGTGTTTGCACAAAGGGACTTTGGATTCCGTACAACCAAGTAACGCCTGTGTCTAGAACCCTATTTCAGACCCAACTGAGGTGCCTATTACCAAGCAGAAAAAGAAAGCTGGAAATGCCACCACTGCCCTTTCCTCCTGCAGCTGACCAGCCTCCTGCCATCCCAGGGTTCCCTACATACACCAGCACCTGATGAGCCTTACAAAGTAAACTCCCTGAGGCAGCGACCAATAGCTTTGAGTCACCCAAGTTACAAAACAGGGATAGCGAAAGTCAAAAATGGGGGCCCGGCATTTTGACGTAAGTAGGTGCACTTGCAATGATGACAAAAACACTGCCACCTAATATTTATTAGTAATTCAGACAAGACTGGGTATGTTCAGGGTGGTATGGCCATAGATATTTGTATAGTAATTCAATTCCTAAAATGTATTTTCTAATTTCCCATCTTCTATTAAGACATCCCTCAGTAAAGGACGAAACAGGTCTCGCAGCTCTCACTTATATAGGAAAGCAGAAGTCACAGGAGGCACCAACTGCTGAGAGACGTGCCTGGGTCGCATGGCTAGTGAACGAGAGGCAGGACTGCCCTCCTCTTTGTCTTCTGGAAAAGCTTAACTGTGTCTTCATGGTACAGAAGTACTTTACCTTCCACTCATCATGAGCACTAGGGTCTGGGACCAGTAGAAACAGCTGAGGACTATTTGGGGATCTCTATCAACTACAAGTAGAAGACAGGAGGAGTACTGAGCAGCTCCTTAAACGTCACAGGACTCCTTACCTCAGATGCAAGGCACCAGCAGAAAAGAAAGCTTCCCTCCTCGAAATTCTCCCTTCCTCCTCTCATGTCCCTCCTCTGGCTCCCTCCCATCAAGGTCTGCTCATCTCAGACCTCCTAGATGCCCTCTGTACATGCTGCACAACACTGTCAACCAACACATCCCAGAACACCCTTTTTTTTTTTTTGAGACAGGGTCTTGCTATGAAGTCCAGGCTGGACTTGAACTTGTGATGATCCTCTTGTCTCAGCCTCTTACATTCTGGGATTACAGGCATGTATCACCATGCCTGGCTCGATTTACAAAAACAAAACAAAAAAAACCACAACCTTTAGTGGTTTGCCAAGCACAAGGCCCAAAGGCAAAGACATCAGACTCCAACATCAGAGGTGGCTTCTGTTTCCAGATCTCCTTTCCACGGTTCCTTACTCACACTCCAGGCCCCTAACCGTTCTGGAAGGCACTGCCAGTTCTGGCTCCCTTGCCTTTGTTTCTGGGGTTCTCTTCCTGCTGTCCCTTCCAGCTATCTTAGCCCGCCCCAGTGCAACTCCTCTGAGATGTCCTCTGCCTATCTGCCTGGGGAAGAAGGTGCTCTCAGCCTCACATGCTTGGTGCCTCCCACTTGGAATCTCAGAGCCTGGCAGTGCTTTGGTCTCCCCATCAGTCTGCTGCTTCTGAAGGTAAACGCAATCTGACACATTCCTGCTTTACACAAAACACTCTATCTAGGTAGGATGACTTCTACCTTCTTCCTACTTTGCTTTATTTACATTGTGCTGAGACTTTTCTTCCACTATCAGTCTTTAGCTCCTAGTGGGAAGGAAATCCATTCCTGGTTCATCTTTGCATATGCCATGGCACCTCTACGATTCTTGGCACATGGAAGGCATGCAATATATATGTACTGAATAAATCACTACAGTGGTTGTTCTAATATAGTCCCAAGTGCCAGGAAACTGCGGTAAAATTTTGCTCTGTACAAAAAGGTAAAGAGATAACAAAAACTGTTCACGGTACATGAAAAAGAAGGCTCTATATTCCTTCTCAAGGGTTTCACCTTCACAGAAAATTTGCCAAATCCACCCTATAGGAGACCACAGATGAGAGAAAGCACATACCTGACATACAGTGAGATGGGCACGACGGTGTTGAGAATGATGATGTAGGACCAGAAGGAAAGGAAGCCGGAGAAAAAGGCACTGTCAACTGCCTCGTCCCAGGGCAGGTAGACCTGGAAGCGTGTTCCAACCTCATGCTCCCAGATGGCATTGCCAATGGCTAGGATCACCCCCATGCAGACCAGGAATCCAAAAATCTATGAAAGAATGAGAATCTGAGTGTAGGCAGAGACAGGGAAACTCTCAAAAGCAAGCGCATCACTGAGGACAGTCACTTTTCATACCTGAGCCCTTCAAAACTCAGGCATCTTTAAACCAGCAGCATGCCTTACTAAAAAGAGCTCAGGACCGGTGATCAGACCTTGTGATGAGGTCTTATCAGCCATAGGTGGTCACTTGGCCTTCTCTTTGAACACCTTCACATCTGTATGCTGGGGAAGTTAAAACAGCAAAGCAGCTCCCACACTGGAACACTCAGGAGTCTCAAAGGTGGGAAGAGTCGGGGTAAGCATTCAATATACCAAAAACACTCATGAAAAACAGCTAGCAAATATCTTGTGTTGCTGTAATGTCTTTATTTTACACACAGTGCCATTTTTTATTACTTGGGAAACAAACTATTTTCATGAACAGTGATTTTTTTTTTTCAGTACTAGTGATTGAACTGAGGCCTTTAATATGCACTAAATCCTCAGCCATTTTTTAAAATTTTGAAATAGTATCTTGCTAAGTCAAGAGAGCCTTCATCCAGGCAGGGCTCAAATCTGCCATCCTCCTGCCTCAGCCCTCCCCATTGCTTGGATTACAGGCATATGCTACCATACTCTACTCTGAAGAAAGCTCTTTTTTCAAAGATCTTTTAGGTATACAGTACGATCATATTCATCATAGAACACTTGTACCTTTTCATGATATAACTTTTTTTCCCCCTCATTTTTACCCTTCTTTCAACCCTTCTTCCCCTCCTTGATGAAGAAGGATCTTAAGAAAGTTTTGGACATTTAAAGAAAATAATCAAAACCACTACATGGCTTTTTACATTTTGTTTCAAAGCTGCCTCCACTGTTGAGGCTTTGAAACAGGAATCATCCTGGTGCTCGAAGACAACCAACAGGCAGGGTGAGCCTTTGTGTGTCAGACTTAATCATCCCCTCTCAGAATGGGTTTTGGTGTTTTTTTTTTTTTTTTTTTTTAATGAAAAACGCTTTCACACTATGTATCATTACCTTCAAAACACTCAATGTAAGACATAAACCAAAAAGATTCTACAAAAAAAGAAACATAACACAAACTTTCTTTTCAACAAACTAAGATAAACTATTAGTATAAATGAAATAAATTAGTATATACATTGAAATATTTTTAAAACAACAAAACATGCAGTTTGGGGAATCAGGCTGGGTTTCTGTGACCTCTTTACAACCTGGACAGAGGCTGTCTAAACAGAGGCTGGGCCCAGCTTTTGCAAGCTGGCATGCAAGGGGTAGGCGGTAGGCAGGAGGGGCAAGATAACTATGCGAGTCCAACTAGGAGCTCAGATTTCTAGCTCAATAAGAGAAGGATTCAGGAATTGCCAAAAATAAAGAGAGACTTTTCCTCCGAGACCCTCCATCCTTAGAAGTTGGGGGAAAGAAGTCTGCTACCCAGCTTCTAAATGGAAATTTTTCTCTTAATTGCCTCTTCATCCTATGAAGGCCTCCTTGTCCCTGGCAGAAGCAAACATAAGGTCACATGCTGTACTGGGCCATCATCATAACCGGGAGACAGAGAAGGGATGACTTGTTTCAACTTTAAATTGTTGATTTATGCACGTTCCTAAAGTTTTTTAAAATAACATCTTTCCAGCCTAAAGGAGATTGAAATAAACACTGCCTTTGAGTAGCTGGTCTATGGGTGGTTTTACAGCCAAACCCAAAGCCTGATGACCTGGGAAAGGCAATTGAAGGAAAGAGAACCACCCAGGGAGACTCAGAAGGGCAGAGGTGGGGAAACAGAGGGGAAGCTTACCCAGAGCACCAGTGTATTCATTAGCCTATCAATACTTGTTCTCTTGAACTTTGTCCTGCCGCTGTTCTGCATCAGCTTAGTATCAGGACCTAGAATAAAATGTAAAATCAGATGACAAATCTGCCTCTAGATTTGTGCACTGATCCCCAGGCAGCAGGACCACAGTGGGAATCGAGTCACTAGATGAGAAGTCTGTATGCAGGGCGGGAGGTTTCTAACCTACACATTTTCCCAGGCTACGCAGCTCCAGCCCACACTCCCATGGAAGGCCTGAATCACCAACTCTTACTCTTCTTTCTGTAAATGCTGGGAGGCTCACCTGCAAAGATGACCAGCCCGAAGCACCACTCCGTGTTTCGAAGCACACAGCCCCGCAGCAGCATGTTCTGGTTGCTAAGGGAGAACTTGTTTTCCTTCCAGTAGAGGGTTCCACTAAACTTGTCCAGCTTGTTATTGGGGGGTTCACAGATCACTTCACCTGAATGGCAGACAGGAGTGCCACTACTCAAGGTCCAGCCTACAGCCCAACCACAAAACAGTAAAACAGAAAAAGCAGCCAACAGAGAGGGTGTAAGAGTACAGGCACTGCTGGCGGCAATGTGAGCTGATGCAACTTCTTAGGACAAGAATAAGGTACTGTGAATTTATATTAAGAGCACACAAACACAGCCCCCAAAAAATGCCAGGTGTGGTGGTACATGCCTGAAATCCTAGCACTTGGGAGACTAAGGCAAAAAGATTTCTGTGAGTTCAAGGCCAGCCTGGGCCACATAGTGAGATCCTGTCTCAAAAACAAAAAACAAAAAAAAAGTCGGGCACAGTGCACAGTGATACACACCTGTAATCCCAGCCCTCAGGAGGCTGGCAGGAGGATTGCCATGACTAGCCTGGGCTATATACTGAGTTCAAGGCCAGCAAGAAATACAGAGCAAGAGCCTGTCTCAAAAAAAAAAGTACACCCATTTTTGGACCCCCTATTGGGACTCTAGGAAACAGTATAGGGAACAACAGTTTTTATAAAAACATTACTGGAACAGCATACTGAAAGCCACTGAATAGTCATGCAGTCATCAATTCTCAGAAATATTAAGCAACTATTAAAAAATAAGATGAATTCTGTATGTACTGATGAGGTAAGATATATGACAAGTTTACAAAAGGGTAGCTTAGGGATTAGGGATATAGCTCACTGGCACCACTGCCTGCCTGGCAAGTACGAGGTCTTAAATTTGATCCCTGATACAAAAAAAACGCAGCTTGCAGGCTGTTCAGCACAATAGAATTAATTTAATTATATTTACATATGTTTCTATAAACACATGTAAAAAACATACATAAGGCAAGCATAGTAGTGCACACCTATAATCCCAGCACTCTTGAAAGGCTGAGGCAGGAGGATCACAAGCTCAAGCCCAGCCAGGGCAATTTAGTGACTTAGCAAGACCTTGTTTCAAAGAAAAAATTTTTGAATTAAATTTCAAAAGGAATGAGGAAGGGACGAAGGGAGTTATATCCTGCACAGGTACAAACTTTTTATGATGAATGTGATCATTATATGTAAAATGTACAATAAAATCTGATTGGAAATGAAGAAAAAGGGGGCAGATGCAATGTCAGGAGTTCCATTCCCAGTACCAAAAAATAAAAAATTACCAAAGAATGGGGATGTAGCTCAGTGCAAAATGTCCTAGGTTCAGTACCCAGTACGGGGAGGAGTGGGGGGGGGACCTGTTGATGACTACACACTGAATTGCCACTTAACGTAGCTCCCTGAGAAGGGCAGAATTGGAGGGCAGGAGAAACCACTATATTAACTATTTGTATGTGTGCCACAGTTTGCTTTCTGATAAGGAGCATATATCATTATGAGATAATCAGCAAAAATAGTAAGCTCAATTTCTCTCAACACGCATAGCAAGTGGGAAACACCATCCACAAAACTCCTTTGAAATGATTATCAGCTAAAAACCAAGTGGCCCAACTAGTTTCCCTTCACAAAATAGTCCAGGAAGCTGTATAAGCACAGCACTAAGGAGCCAATAGGAAAATGTACAAAGCCCGACCCACCTCCCCTACCTGAGGGCTGCGTCTGCAGGATTACTCACCATCGAACTTGGCAAGCTTGCTGATGTCTCCCAACTCTGAGGTGACAGGAATTGCCTGGCGCACTTTCATGTTGGTCTCTCTGAAAGGACAGCACCCTTGAGAGTTCTGGGTCCCTCTCTGTCTTCTGGGGCATCTGACTACAGGGTGCAAAGACTTCTACACAGCCAAAGCCTTTCTGACCCCGATTTTTACCAAAAGCAACAGAGTTTAGACTAAAAACCTCTTTCAAAAGCTGTATTTTGGCTCCTAGGGAGGTAGAAGGAGAAAGCTAATACTGAGCATGCCACTTACCCATCGAGCTCTGCTGTCTCTATATAACACAGCCCATGGGGCTCACTGCTGGAAAGAAGCAGAAGATCCGCCTACAGAGAAAACCTATTAAGAACCCCAAAGGCCCAACCCCACCTCAGTGAGCTCTGATGATGGCTCCCCACCTAAGCGCTCTTAGCTTTCTTATTCCAGGCAATGGCTAGTCTCAGCCATCTTAACAGGACACAGAGGAAGCCTCCCACTCAAGAAAGTCCCCTTTCATGGTGTTTAAAAGACAAAAGTAGGAGGGACTCAACCCTTTCTGCCCAGAGAAAACACAGCACTCCTGACCTGGGGAAGGGGGGACCTGTCTCTTACCGCCACAAACTGGTTATTTTCAAGCTTGATAATGTCACCAACACAGACATTCATCCACTGCTCTTGCTGGAGGCTGCAGCAACAAGAAGACAGTGGAGAGGCTGTCAGTAGCCAAGAAAATTCCCAGGGACCCTCTTTCCCCAAAGAGCTATCATCTGCAATAGGCACTCACATTCCATTGATCAGCACCTGAGACTGCCGATTATTCACCTGGTTATCACTCTTGTGGCGGAACTAAAAAGAGGAGAAATAAAAAGTATAAAGTCCAAAATTCGATGCTCCAAGGGAATTGACCATTGGTGAACTCAGTGCATGATAGGGAATGCCTTGCGTATATCCATTCACAGACCTACGCTTTCCCTGACTCCCCTATTCCTCCTCAGCCAAGGTACATTGGAGCTAGCTGGACCAGGTAAGGGATGGCAAGACCACCATGGAATTATGGTGGGTGAAGGGAGCTTAAGTTAGGGGTGGAAGGAAAAGGGTAATGGGAGAAAAGTAGAAGAATGAAAACAACTCACATAGTCATCAGTGGCATCTTTAACAGCTGTGATGGTGAGGACCAGAACCAAAGGCACAATGGTGGTGAACCATGACAGGGAAGAGATCTGTGGGATCAACTGAAAAGAGGAAACAGAAGCATGCTTCTGAGGCTCGTCTAATGCCTTCCTGCCCTAAACCCTCCTCTTCACTGGCTTCATTTGATTTTGTCACAATGGATATACAAAAGGCCACTCACCTGCAGAATGAGAAGGAACAAGAAGTAGGTGTTGGCAACTTCCTGGAACTGCTCAAACAGGTTGACAGGCAGGAAGGTAAGGATATTGTACTTGGAGGTCTTGATGCAGTTGCTCTATGGCAGTAGGAGATAAGATAATGAGGCAGCCCCCAGCCCCTACCTAGAAACCAAGGCTGGCTTCTCTATCTTTACACTTCCCCAAACCTCCCTCCTAAATACCAACAACCATGGGGTGTGGGGGGCACCAGGAGGGGTCTCTCCCTGGCTCAGTATATCCTGCTTCACTGATCAGTGAAGGACTGAAAAATTCAGCACTGGAGCATATGCAGAGTAGCCAAATAGGCTGCCTTTGCCTCCCCTAATCATCCCCCTTGTCAGGGGGAGGCCCCCCTTCAGTCCCAGCCCAGGATGCTCCTGTACTTCCCCCTCCCACTGGGGAACAGGTGGTCTGGTGTCACTTACCGCATACTGGAATTTCTCATTGTATTCTCGGTCATTGGCCCGTGCCCTCCTCTCTTCTTCTACAACAGAACCACACTGCAGTTAGGAAGAACAAACTAAGGCTGGGACTCACACCTCATCAGGACCATCCTACTTTGTGGAGGATCCACAGAGAGCCCTTGGTTCCGTTCACAGAATATGGTTCTACAGAGTTAGCTTCACTGGCTTGCCTTTCAGTTCCTGTCTCCAGTCTACTCTCACCAACAGCCCGGCTCTGCCTGTCACATACAGTGGAAAGCCTGTTTTCTTTTCCCTCCAGTCAAGATCCTCCTGCTCTGAAGGAGCCTTAGCCACTAATGGTCATGGGAATCCCTAGGCCCTGTGTTGTTACAATTAACATAGCCATCATCATAAGCCAGGCACAGCAGCTGAAGACACAAAGCATCCTCCCCACACACACACACACACACACACACACACACACACCGGGGAATTTGGCACATCTATGGGAGGAATGGATGGGTGTTAAGACTAAGGGTCACCATGCCCTGGAGCTGCTCTGCAGCAGCATCTCAGCCCCATGTGCGGTTCCCCCACAGGAGCCTCTGCTTGTCACATGTCACCAGCAGCAGTTTCTGACTGGCCAACAATGACATCACCTATTTCACAGCTCATCTTCAAGTTGGGAAGGTGGGGGCTGATGGATATGGGTCACACAGACTGAGACAGATATAAGAGAGGAATGAGAAATAACTGAAACAGCTGCTCTCTGTGACCTTTCCTGTACCATCTTCATACATTTCCCTTAAATCACTCACCTGTCCCTTGGTTACACCTATCCAAACCTTCACAGGTCCCAGACTGTAAGCACCAAAATTTAGGTCCCACAGTGGGGGATCTCCTATGAAGGGGTCCCCAGCCCACATCCTGGCGTTGCTATGACCTCGGGCGATAAAAGGGAATAACTTAGTTGGGCAGCAAACCTAGTACCATAAATCTGTCAAAGAGCCAAAAGCAGCATTCAGACTCCTCTCCCCGGCCCCACGCAGATCACACTGCAGCAATACGCACACCACAGCATCCCCTGTCCACCGGAGCAGGACCACGCTACTCCCAGAAACTTCCCCCTCGCGTTAAGACCCTGCAAATCCCCACAGGCCAAGCCAAGAAGGAAGAAAAAGATCTGCCAGGATCTCCCGATTTAGATAGAAAACCAGGAAGACTGGAAGCTGAGGAAAAGGGAATGTGGAGAATGAATGGGGAGTTAGGGGTGCGGAAGCGCTGCCTCACTTTACCTGTCCCCCATGCGGGCTTCTTACGGTTCCAGGAGGGAGGTGCCCTGGCCCACTTCTCGGGCATCTCCTTGGGGACCGTCATGGTCCCGGTTTGAGTGGGGGAGGGCACACTGTCCAAGGTCTCAGCAGCGCCTACCGCCTACGGGGCGGCCCCCAGGGGAGGTGCAGGAGCTGCAGCCGCTCAGAAGGGAGCCCCAGCCACTCCGGGCGCCCAGGCCCCTCAACCCAGGCCATCTTTGGGGCCGCGGCACCAGCCCGCCCGAACCATTGCGACCTCAGCAGCGCCGCAGCCCCCAGGTCTACTGCAGCCCCAGCACGCACACCCTAAGTGACCCGGGACGCCTGGCGCAGCCCCGGCTCCGCCCGTCCCGACTGCAGGGGCCGCGCAGCCAGCGCCGCGTAGGCGAATGCCAGCGAAGCCCCGCCTCCCCGCCCCGGGCCGGCCAATACGGCGGGCGGGTTGCACGTCGTCGGGGGCAACCGTGCTGACCCCCCCCCACTCCCGCAGCGAGCACATAGAATCCAGTAGGTAGAAAATGAGGGGAGGAGACGAGGCCCTCCCCAGGCTAGAGAGTGGGAGCTGCAGGTACCTCCACATAAGAACACAGAGGTGTGAGCAAGGGGCTTGTGCTCGCTGCATCCCACCAGGAAACTCAGGTGGAGAAGCATCCAAAGGAAAAACTCTCTTAGGCTTCTGTCAGGAAGCATGGGGTTTTAATCTCCCATTCCCAGGCCGGGGGCGGTGACGCAAATTGTAATCCCAGCACTGCTAGGGAGACTGAGGCAGGAGGATGTCTGCAAACTACATAGAAACCAGCCTAGGCTACGTGGTGAGACCCTATTTAAAAACAAACAAAAAAAACCCTGCCCTCCCTTAGGCCCATCCCAGTTGTCCCTCTTCCCTTGGCTCCTTGAGCAAGAACCACCACTCATGACGGTCCCAGGGATTGCCACTCCTTCCTTGCCTTTCTTACCTGGGGGGTGCTTTTTCGCACACAGTGCCATCTCACCCAACAAGGTCCCAGCAATCCCATGGGAGACCCTGAAAGAAGGTAACACATTCGGCTGGTCACGAAGGAGAGGGCGATCCTTCGTTCCCTTCATCAGACCCTCTAAAGTTTCCCTTCTCCAGTTCTGACTGCCTTTGCCAGCCCTTCCCCACCAGCTCCACCAACACTCCCTCTTCCTGCTGAAGGATAACACAGAAAAGGGGCCATTCCCTCTGCACTGGGTAACATGGTGGAGGCTGGGCATCTACTGAAACCAAGACCTGCAGGGAAAGAGCTTCAGACATGTGGCCAGATTAAGGGGACACAGGTCTCAAGGTATCCATATCAGGACAATGGATATCCCATGTACTCTCCTGGTTACATATGTGCTGCCTGTACTAGAAAGCAGTATTTTCCCCCAAAGAGTGGGGTGGAGGGAACATAAACCAGGAAACACCTGGCAGGGCATCAGGAAAACAGTAGGCAGGCTCCACCCTTCTTGAAATGTTCATAAATCCCCAATCCCTACCCCCACGGTTGGGGCTTCCATTATCACCTCCTCCACAGAGGCGCTCACATTAGAGGGCTGGCCTTCACTTCCTGCTCAGACAGTCCCCAAACCACTTCCTCTCAATCTGGGCCAGCTTTCCTTCTGGGCTAGCTGAAGGGTCTTTCAAACCATGTCAGAGAGGCTCCCCTTTCTCTCTTGTACCCTAAACCTAGTCCAGTCAGTGTAAAACTGGGTTCAAGCTCAGAAAGCATCAGTCATCCTTCCACCTTCCCACATCCTTTCTTTCTCCTAAAAAGGTATAAAACCTGAACTGGAAATGTTGTATAATCCCAGCTACCCGGGATGCTGAAGCAGGAGGACCACAAGGAAGGACTCAAGGCCAATTTGGCCAACTACCACGACCCTGTCTTAAAAAAATGAAAAGGGCAGGAGATGTAGCTCAATGGTAAAGAACCCACCTAACATGTTTGAGGCCTTGGGCTCAATCCCCGGTACAACTGGGGAAAGAGAGAGGAAGAGGAAGAGAAGGTGATCCCTGACCCTCAGACCCTATTCCCCATCCTGGCCCAAAGCAAAGAGCGAAAGGCCTTCAACCTCCTTCTCAGTCCCCCTGCTCGAGCCTACTGGAACACCTCACCAGCCTGTCAGCTCCAAGGGATACTAATTGCCTGTCTACCCAACCACTATAATTACAGACTCTACCCATAGCCCCGTCACCCAAACCGCTTCTCCCTTCACCAGCAGACTCCCTCACTGACCCCTAATCAGACAACACTGAGAACCAGAAGTACTCTTCCTCTCTAACCCTCCCCAAATGTGGCAGGCCAAGGGTGCCTGGCTTAGGAAAAAAAAAATTTCATCCACATTTTAGAGATGCCAAGTCCTCCTCCAGGGCCCCCAGCCAGGGTCTCCACCCAGTCTAGAGTATGAGTCACAAGAGGGTTGGGTGGAGAAGCAGAGGCTAAAGTGGAGGATGCACAGTGGGCATCACAGGTTTCCTGGCCGATCAGTCTCACACTGCCAGGTAATCCAGAAACAATGCCAGCTCAAGGGTCTGGGTCTGTATCCTTAGCAAGAGTTAATGGAGGGGGGCTGGGGATTTAGCTCAGCGGCATAAGTGCCTGCCTTGCAAGCAGGCAGTCGTGAGTTCGATCCCTGGTACCGATAAAAACGAAAAAGACAAAAAAAAAAAAAAAAAAAAAAAAAAGTTAATGGAGGAACTGAACAGGCATCTGAAAGCTGGGGTCTGGAACCGGATCAATAAAGTTCTACATCTAAGATGGTGGGGAGACTGAAGCAGGCTTCGCTACAGAGCCCATCCTCTGGGGAGAGGATAGTAATGGGGAGGGAAGGGGAAGCACTGGCAACAGGGACCCCCACACTTTCTCCGTCCCATCCTCACACACCCTCACACACCCTGGGCTTTCTAAACCCGGTCCGGCCCATCAGCCACGTCGCCCTGCCCTGTCACCCTGCCCCAGCCCCCTCTGCAGCCACATCTGGGATAAAAATAGCCAGCTCTGGGAAGGAGGCGATGCTTATGGATGAAAACAGCTCCTCCTCTCGTCTGCTCCTGCTCCTTTCCAACCAAGACTTTTTAGCAGAGAAGGCTGGCGGGTCAGAGAGACAGGAAGAACCCTAACGTAAGGCCCCCAGGTCACCTGCCGTCACCACGGCCCCGAGTCGCCCTCTTCCCGGGGTGAGAACAGGACCCAAGGCTCTCTGCACAGCTCTAACCCTCAGAGCTCCCAACCCTGCTGACACAGAGACCTCCACCTTCCAAAGACAAAGCCCACAGGCTCCAAAGTCCCTTCTCCGGGTCCGAAAGGCTGGGACCCGGTTACTCCGGCGCCCACCCCAAGTCTCCGCGTCTCCTGTGGCGCCCTCCCGCGCTGCCTGCGCACCGCCTGGGTCCCCGGTCCTCGCGCCTGCAACACCCCTGGGCCGCCGCTGCCCGGCCGGGTATCCGCATCTCCGCGCGCGCCTCCCGCTTCCACCTCACCTCAGCGCTCTGCGCTCCGGGCCCGCCCCGGCCGCCCTGTCCGGCCCATGCCGGGGGCTGGGGCGGGGGGCGCTCGCTCGGCTCCCCGCGGGCTCCCGCCCCCCAGCTGTGGCCCAGCTCTCCCCGGGGCCTCGGCCCGCTACTTTGTGTCAGTTTCGGCCGCGGCGGGGCGGAAGTGACGGCGGCGGCGGTGCAGGGCGGGGGGCGGGAGGGGGTTTTGGGGAGGGGGAGGGCAGTGCGCGCTGGAAGCACGCGCCGCCATCTTTGTGCCGGGCAGGGGGCTTACACCCTTTGCCTCAACGGCTAGAGTGAGCCTGAAAATAACCGCGAGTCAGGGTAACCCAGGTTTTATTTAATTTGGGAGAAAGGGGACGGGAGAAAGCTGCTGCCCTCTCTGCAAAAAGAGCATCATCTGGAGGAGGGGAGTGAAGGCGGAGAAGTGGAGCTACGAGAACTTTCCTCCGTATCCGTCTTCCCTTAGCCCCTTCGGAGCTGTCTGCCCCTGCGCCTTTGCCTTTTCTCCAAGCCCTGGCTGGTCTCGTGCCATTGTACCCTCCGCTGAGACGACATGGCTCGGGGCTGGCTAGGTAGTCCACTGAGCTGTGCCTCTGTTACTCCGCCTGGCTCTCCAGATCTCCAGGCCCATGCCGCCCCAACGCGCCCCCGGGTGGAACCTCCTTCCCCACCTCGACCGACCGTCGGGGGCGGCAGAGTCTCGGGGTGGCGCCCCTGGAGGGTATTGCGCACGGCGCCGCTGCAACAGGAACAGGGAACTGGAGCCGGGCAGTGGGTCTTAGCTTTGGGGTTTCCAAGGTTATGTCCCCCACCGCGTGGGAAGTTGGCACCCACTCCCCGCGATTCTCTCAGCTTTCCGGAGCCAGCATTCAAGGCGTGCACCCCCTGGCGGCCTCTGTAAGTAACTACTTCTTTAGAGGCCCCTAAATTGAGAAAAGGCATTTGCGGGGAGAAGGGGAGCAGGACCTGAGCACCCTAACCTCCTCCTGCTCTGTTTCCCCTGTCCAGGCCTCCTTTCCAGTTTAGGAGAAAGGGGTGTCTGCGGGGGAAACAGGGTCTGATATACGTAAAGAATATCTGTCTTGGAAACGGGCCAGTTGTGGCTCTCGAATCCATACATGAGGTTAATTCTGTCAGAATCACAGCTTACACTCCAGCATCTGAGGTGAGGCAGGTTTTGCCAAGTCTGAGTCTTCGTGCTGACTGGAGTCCAGATCCTGAGCCAGCTGTGGGTCCTCAGGGTGGTGCAGAGCCACAAACATTTGATATATGGCAGTGCCAAGAGTGGCTCCCACCAGAGGAGCTACCACCGGCACCCACCACCAGCCGTTCCCAGCACTGCAAGAAAAGGACAAAGGGTGGTCGCAGGCACAGCTCACTTAGCCTCCCTGTCTCCAAGGTCTGGGGATAGCAACAAGGGAGCTCTCCCTAAGGTAGATCCTGAGGCATTTAGCATGGACTCCAAGAGCCATGGCCCAGCTGCTAGCCTGAGGGAATGGTCTGATTATAGGAATTTTGCTGATGAAGTTGCTAATGCCTAAAGAAGTAGTAGGATATACCTAACAGAACATTTCTAAATCTTACTGTGTCTGTGACAATTGGGCAGGGAGACGAGAAAAGGAGAACATAGTGCTTGGCAAAGGAACCCTGTCTAAAAGGCCTAGAGAACTGTGTTGGGAGAGAGCTGGGGATCCAGGAGAAGAGCCACTGGCAGAGGGAAGTAAAGGTGGTGCACACCAGGGAAAGCCATCTCTCACCTAAAGACTTCAGGGCCCCAGCCAGCCACGTAGGTGAAGAGCCGTGGTCCCAGGTCCCGGGCAGGGTTGAGTGGAAACCCACAGTTGACACCCATGGAGAGTCCAATAACCAGGATCAGCAGCCCTACCACAACTGGCTCCAGACCAGCAGGCACGCCCTTGTTGCGTCTGTCCAGGATGGCCAAGAGCCCCACAATCAGCATCGCAGTGCCTATGACCTGAATTTGACAGAGGCAGAGGGGACCCCATCAACTGCTGAGGGTACCATCTGCCTGCTTTACCCAGCCAGTCCAGACCAACACTTCTTTCATCTCGATTTGTCCAACACAGGCAGCCTGGGGATAGGGAAGAATGGTAGAACCACCCCCATACTCCACCGTCTAGGGCCTATGGTCCCAAGGCAAATGTTGGGGCTTCCCAGGACTCTCTCTCACACCTACCTGATCCAGAAAGCCATTGTTCAAGGACAAATAGGGGGCAGGATAGGTGGTAAAGATGGAGGCTGTCTCCTTGGGTCCAGTCACTGTCAGTTTCCCATCTGTGTAGTTCTGTAAGGCATCTTTGAGAGGGGGACATCTAGGGTTTCTAATTTTGATCATCTAGAACCATTCTCAGGCACCCTTCCCCACACACAGTCCCCCAGCTCTGTCCCCTGTTACCATAGTAAAGGACATAGGTGGCTCCTGAGGCACAAAAGGCAGCCAGCAGCTGCACCAAGCAGTAAATGGGGAACTTGGCCCAGGGGAAGCGTCCCAGGAGGCACATGGCCAGTGAGAAAGCTGGGTTCAGGTGGGCTCCTTCAAGGATCAAGGAGAGAAAACCAGCCTCCATTCAGTGTCACTGCCAGACAAGTAATGCCGCTGCTTCCTCCCATAACCCTTCACAACAGGTGGAGGTGAAGGAATTTAGGCTCCAAGAGTGCAAATGACTTGTCCAGGTAATAAAGCAAAGCTCAGATTTGAACCCAGGTCTTGTTGCTCTGTCTGTCACAGTGCACTATATGTCAAGGCTCCAGTGAAGCACACTAATGCAGACTGCTAAGGGACAAGCAGGTGGGCTCAAAGCAGAGATGAGCCCTGAGCTTCAGGGTGAGGCACAAGAGGCCAGTACTTTTGACACCAGGAATCGAACTCATGACCTTGCGCTTGCCAGGCAGGAGGCCAGTATTTAACCTCAGTGCCCTACTATAGATTTTTGCCTACGTGACCCATGGGTGTGAAGAGGGGTAATGGAGAAATACAGGAAGGGTAAGGGCTAGGTGACGCCAAAGGCATATCTCAGTCCAGGGCACTGGCCAAGCTCAAGGAGATAATGTCCATGAGTCACCAAAGTTTCTGTCTTTTTGCCATCTCCAGATCCCCATATTCCCCTTCACATCCCACCCTCTTGATGCCCAGACCTGACTCTCGTCACCTGAGACATTGCCTGCCACGTAGATGGCTATTGTCACGGAGAAAGAGCCAGCCAGAAACATGGTGAAGAAATTCCCTTTGGTTTCTCCACTGGTGACAGCCTGAGCCGCAGCCCCCTGGGTGAGGAGCTGATGGAGAGATGGGGGATGAGGAATGAGGCGCCCAGGAAACCATCCACAGAGAAAAAGAGCCAGAGAGATAAATAGACCTGAGGGGCTAGAAGGAAAGGAGAAAGGCAGAATGAGGAAAGGGGGAGGGGGGAGGGGGAGAAAGAAAAGGAATAAAAAAGGTAGAATGTGAGAGATGAGGATGGGCGAGAATCACAAAGTAGAAGAGAAATGAGGAGAGACAAGAGAACAGGAAAAAGGAAAACTTGAGAGTTGAATCAGGATACCAAGAAACTGAAAAAATAATACTAGGAAGAGCTAGAAATTTTGACCGACTTCCTCCCCCTACTCCACCTCATTAGCTTACCTACCAGGAGCACAAATACACCCAGAAATTCTGCAAGGCACTGTCGAGCCAAGAGGCTGTGGATCCGGAAGTGGGCTTTGATTCCAGCCAGGTGCTGAGTGTAAGCCATGGTGGGGACACCCTCCTGCCGTCTGCATAGGCACACAGCCACTGACTGCTAGGGGCAAGATAAGAAAGAGACTTTAAAACCAATTAGCTTAGCTCCTATGCACGTGTGGGGGCAGAGCATAGGGTTCTGTTCACGTGTAGAGGCCGGGACGTGGGGAGCCTGTCTGTGGGAAGGCTGTGTGCTCTGGCAGAGCCTGGAGTTTGTCCCTGTTTCTTCTGTCCTTCGTCCTCACTCTGCACAGGACTAGCCTGGATGTGGGAAGTATTCTGCTTTGTATTTGTTAGTTCTTTTGGTCCTGAAGACAACTTTGTAAAGTAGTAGTGTTGCTCCCATTTACAGCTGAGGATACAGAGCCCTAGAATTTCCTAAGATCCCATCATTAATGGATGAATGAATTCAACTCCATGTCTTTTTTTTTTTTTTTTTTTTTTTAATGAAGCAGGGTTCTATTATGTAGTTCAGGTTGGCCTCGAACTCACCATGTAGCCTAGGCTAACCTTGAACATGGCAATCTTCTTGCTTCAGCTTCCAGAGTGCTGAGATTACAGATGAGCACCACCACGCCTGGCTCACGTCTTCTGACTCTCCACCTGCTATTCCACAGTGCCTCTCATCTGGAACATAAAATCTTTCTCCAGACCACGTGGGTAACTGAAAAACTCACGAGGCATCCAGAGATACTGGACTTAAGTCTACAGCCTGTTGGAAGGCAAGCCACACATTGAATGCTTGTGCTTCTTCCGTGCAGTTTACCTTGGTTGACAAATGCTGTATTGGTGTGTCTGGTGCCATGGATTCAGATGAGGACAGCAGACTCCTGCCCTTCTCTGGATGTATGGTACTATGCGTAACACATACCCAGATCCTATTTCTTCATATCTCAGGTCTCCAAAAAGACCATGAGTCCACTTCTAAACAATGGGAAACAGTGATGACTGAAACATAGTCTCTGCCTTCCTAGGGCTTCTGATCTAACAGGTAGACACAGGTGATGTATATATTTTTAAATTATAGAGTTTATGACATTCTTGAAACCTGGGACCATAATTGCTGTGGGCTTTGGAACAGACTTGGCCTCTCTGTATGTAATAATACTGCTTCACTGGCTCTAACATATCACTCTACCCACATCCCCCATTTTCCAGCTACTAGGATCATCAGCTGTGATTCCATATAGCTGCCACACAGCAGGGCAGTTCCCTCCACCACAGGAAGTTGTCTTGCCAAGTCAGTACCTCCTTTGGGTTCCATGTCCAATGACTGATTGATACAAGGATACAAAACCCTGACCTGGTAGCTCCATTTAGGACAGCTCTAAAGGGCCATTCCAGCTCCAGAGTTGCTAGGGGGGTCAACTGAAGTGTTGCATACACTTTTTTTTTTTTTTTTTTTTGGACAGGGTTTCGCTATGTAGCTCAGGCTGGCCTCAAACTTGCTCATGTAGCCAGGTTGGCCCCCAACTCACATCAGTCCTCCTTCCTCAGTCTCCTGAATGCTGGGATTACAGGTGCGCTCTACCACACCTGCCTCTTTTCTTACATCTTCAGTGTGTGCAAGTCTCTCCCTCTGCCCAGACCTGCCTTCCTTACCTGCATATCTCCTTAAGGTGCTAGCAACCCTTGGTAAACATTGCTCATATGTGTCTTCATCGTTAAGTCTTTTCCAAGGAGCCAAGTTTAATATGATCCGTGTCAGGAGGGGTCCCAGTGATCATTTTCTGAAATGGGATTTGCATAGTAGTGTTTCCCTGCTGGTTGCCAAAAGCTTGGTTCTGGGAAGCTTAGGAAAATGATGGCCCACACTAAAAAATGTAAAAAGTACCAGAAGCAGTCACTTATATTGGTTGCCATTGTTGAATACCTTTTGAAGTTTTTAAAGAAAGGATCTGAATTAACATTTTTTTCTTCATTAATAACTGACAACACAAAGTTATACCATGTCTTCTTGTTAGAGTAGAAGTTTAAGGATCCAAGTAGTAATCAGAGTCCTGGCTCAGGTCTTGTTGACAGTACATTTTCTGTGACCTTGGTACTCCCACTTATTATTGCCCAGTATCCTGGCTATCCTGTGAAGTTTCAGAAAACCCCCACTGATTTCTTGACTCATGAGCCGAGTGGTGAAGGCCAGTTGGAAGTCTGATATTGGCCTCACCATAAATAAAAATCAATACCATATTTTAGGGGGATGGGGAGATTCAGGCCATCTCAAAGAATACAGGGTGGATGACCTCGTCATAGCATAAGTTTAGCCTCTGCAAAACTGGTTAGATCATGGTATGGTTACATAGTGAGACCTTTTCTTTAAAAAAAGTTCAAGGGGCTGGGGATTTAGCTCAGCAGCATAAGAACTTGCCTTGCAAGCAGGCGGTCATGAGTTCGATCCTCAGGTACTGATATAATTAAAAAAAAAAAAGTTCAAGACTTTGCTACATTGGCAAAATTTTTAGAAGTTCAAAATTTTTAGATATCCTTTTGAAAGTAAAGCACTGACTACTGCATTTCATGCCTCCTACCACTAAGAAAGAAGCACAGTGCTAATTTCTTATGATTCTGGAGCAATATATTTCACATTTGGAAACACAATGCTGATCCACTTATCAGATGACAGTAAAGACTGTCAGGTATGAGAAGGATCCCAAGGAGAAAAGGCCTCTGTGGTCATGTGACCCACCAGACTCCACAGGACTAGAACATATGTGGAAGGAAATGATGCTGTGTGTACTCTGGCAAGCTCTAACATGAGAATCATAACATAGACCTGAGCAGAGCCAATACTATCTCCCCCAGAGAAATGCGCATTGTTTGAAAAGCACTGGCCACTGGCCACTGATAGAGACATCAAGTAACCAGAACTGTCCACCACTAACTGAGGTCTGTCAGACCCTCATTCATTAGGAATGGTGGGGCTAACAAAAACCATACTGTAAGATGAAGTGGCATCTTCAGGATCAGAGAGAAATGGGTCCGAAGACACAAGCAAACTTCAAAGCAAGTGTTCCAAAGTGCCATTCACCAGTGTCAAACTGTCTTCTCTTCCTCAGTTCTATCCATTGCCCACTGAGGCATTTGTTAAGCCAGCTGGCAGAGCAGAGCGCCTGAACTTCACTTGCAGATGGGTTGACATGGGTGAAAGCTAAAAATAGAATACTGGTTCACTACCACTTACTCACGAGTGGCCCTGATACAGCGTCAAGAGGAGATCCTCCTACAGGACAAAGATTTGAGCAATAGAGCTGGTCACTTACTTTGTGTGGAAGAGAAATACCAGAAGATAAAAATACACAATGTCTCCCTGGCAGTGCCAAATGCCTTTGTTATTTGGTCCATGATTTGAAAAGAAAGGAAAGATCTGGAACAAAGATTTCTGAGGATAAGATGTATAATGCCTACCAGAGAACACCTGTCATAGATAGGCACCAAACAAACAAGCAGATGGAGTGACTCAGCCACTGTCCGTCACCCGCCACCTCAGTTTTGCACAATGGGTGCAGTGAACAGATAACCTGGTGAAATTGATAGTCTTTGCATGGCCCCCACCCACCACTGCGAAGTCCTGACATGGTGCTACCCCTCTAGAAGAAGCAGCCGTGCATCCAGTCAATGATGTAAGATTCCACTACTCTTTTTATTTTTTGTAGTATTGGTGAGTGCACCCAGGGAGCACTGAGCTATACTCCCCTCCATTTTCAGGTTTTTGTTATGGATGGGGTCTCACTATGTAGTCCAAGCTGAACTTGAACTCACTGTATAGCCCAGATTGACTTCAAATTTGTGATCCTCTTGCTCCAGCCTCCCTAGTAGCTGAGATCACAGCTGTGTGCCATCACATGCCCAGGTTTGAAATCTCACCATTTTTGACAGGAATTGAAAATATTTTTACTATAGTCATTCCTCAGTACCCGTGACAGATTAGTTCCAGGATTCATTACCAATACCAAAATCAATGGACTCTCAAGTCCTTTATATAAAATGACACAGGGAAGAGGATGTGCTCAGTGCTAGAGCACTTATGTTGTATGTTAGAGACTCTGGGTTCAATTCCCAGTAATGGGGAGAATGAAAAGGGGTTATATGCATAAAACATATACATGATCCATACGGACTCTGGTGGTATATATATATATATATATATATATATATATATATGTAATCCCAGCTCAGTCAGGAAGATCACAAGTTTGAGGCCAATCTGAGGCACACAGCGAATTCAAGGACAGCCTGAACTACATAGTGAGACTATCTCCAAAGGGTGATGGAGCCTACATACAGCCTAGCATGGTAGTACACACATGTAATTCCAGCACTCTAGGAAACTGAGACAATTTGATCCCAACCTAGGCAATTTAGAAACTTAGTGAGACTTTTCCAAAGGGCTAGGGATATACCTTAGTATAAAGACCCTGAGTTCAATCCTTCTCAAACACACACACACACACACACACACACACACACACACACACACACATATCCACCCATATACTTTAAATCCTCTAGGGAATAATGACAAGAAAGTTTTGTTGAGCTGAGATTGGTTGAGTTTAAGGTTGGAAAGCCCACAGACACAGAGGGCCAAGGCCATCTGTATAGATTTACCTTTTCTGTTCATAGGGTTGCAGGCAGTACCACTCCCCCAAGGACTTACAGAGCAGTGGCTCCACTAATATGGAATCTGTATTATGTTATTTTACACTGAGGGGTTTACAATATAGCAAAGTAGATATAGCAATGTGCATATGACTCATGTTTTGTTCTGGTTTGTTTTTTGATGGGGGTGGGGGGAATACTGGGGATCGAACGCAGGGCTTCATGCTAGGGAAGCACTTTACCACTCATCACTACAGCCCATAGGCATATAAATCATTGTTGAGAGAATCTAATTGGAGACTTGAGATACAAAATAGAAGGATCTGACTATGTGTTATGCAGAGCAAGGTTTGCATGCACCCAAAGAAGGGCATGTGTTTTTTTAATTAAATAAATTTTTATTTAAGAAACTTCAGATTATTTCTGTAATACTCATCAAAGTTAG